CCCAGGGGACAGGCAGGGGGGAGCTGCTCTCTGTCCTGCCAGCTGGCACAGGGCACTGCAGACCCGCTCACCCACTGGCTGTGTGTGAGGAACACCTCGTGCCAGAAGGAGAGGGGTTGGCACCTCCTGCAAGGGAACACACTGGGGGCTCTGGAGTGTGGGTGCAGGTGGGCTCCCTGGCCCCACAGGTCCCTGTGCCTGTCCCAGGGCTCTGCCTGGTTGTGCCTGCAGTGCCAGACAGTCACGGAGTGCCACGACGACGCGGCTCAGTGCCCATACATGGTGTGGAGCGTGGAGACAGCTCAGTGCTGGCACGGGAGAGGAAGGGGGTTATCGGGTGCCCTGCACGGCACCGATAGCACCGAGTGCTCCAGAGCTGCTGCAGCTGCTGTGCTGGATTAGTGCCGATAAGAGAGGGGCCCTGGGCAGAGCAGGAATTCAGCTGGCTGATGGATGCAGATCCCAGCGTGTCGCTATTCAGCCCCTCCAGAGCCTGACCTGATTCGATGCAACCTCCATCCCAGCCCACCCCAGCTGCCAGCTCAGCTCCCTCAGCTCCTCGTGGCATCCAAGTCCCCCACATCCTGCCGTGGCCCCTTCTCCCAGTTTGTGCTCCTCTCTCCCAGGATCAGCACGCACCCAGCAGCACCCACCAGCCCCACGCTCTGCACTGCCAACACAGGGAGCACCTTCCCAGAACCAACGTATTCACCACAACCCCACGATAATCCCCATCCCTCCCTCCCCTCCCCTGCTGTGCCGTGTTGATCCGAACACTGGAGGGTTTCATCCCCCTCGCCTGCAGCTGCCGCTGCATTGTGCCAGCTCCCCGTGCCCAGACAAACCCCTCGTTTGCTGAGACACATCCTCCGGCATAATTACCAGGTCTCAGAAACACGCACAAAGAACCCACAGCTGGTGACACAGTAACTCCGAGCTGCACATTTCCCCACGTCCTTTATCTCCCAGCCTTTATCTCTTCCCTGCCAGAGCAAAATCAGAGTCATTACCCATCGAGGGTGCTGCGTGTGCACGAGAGATGTGACACAGCTCACGCTGTCACGACACGATCGGCACTGATTGATCTTGCAGCGTATTAACGATGCCTTTATTTTTCAAACAACTCATCCATCAGATTTTTGCTGCTTGTTTTGCTGTTATTTGCCTGCTGTTGGTGCATCCTCTGGACCACACGCTCGAGGAATTTTTCCCTGCCCTGAGCCCCTCCACGTGGCACTGGGCCCTGCTCAGCCACAGACACCGTTTCCAACCCTCTGCTCAGCTTCTGGCTGCTCGCACGTAGCGCGGCAGAGTTCACTGCTTGGCCAAGCCAAGCACGCAGCACACATATGTTCTTTGTTTTTCTAACTCCATCCCTAGAATTCACACACTTCCGCACGCTAAAAACTTCTCTCCGCACGAGTTAACCACCAGGATTGGCACTGTCCCTGCTCCCAAGGCAAACACAGCGTGCTGGAGCGCAAACGAGCCCAGCTCTCCTCCAAGGAAGCATATGCTTTGCGAAGAGCCACAGGTTTTTTGGGTTGTTCCAAGCTGGCCCACCCACTTTTTCCTGAAGCTGAAATAAAGTGAGAAGAGCAAACATAGCCGAGGGTTTGCCGTTCTCCCTGCTCCTGCCTTCCCTCCCACCGAATCCAGCTGCGCCTTGGCACCAAGGAGCGGAAAAACAGCAGCGCCGAGCTCAGCCCCACGGCCCAAATTCCCCTGTCCTCTCCCCACTGGTGACACAAAGCTTGGAGTCACCACCCCGAGCAGTACCCATGTGCCCCACGGGGAGTAGTCTGAACCAACACATGGGGTTTCCTGTTAAAACTGCAGAGTCTGTCCACATACAGAGCGAAGCAGAACAGCCCAGGGACGGGCAGTGCCCCAAGTTCCCGTTCCCTCTCCGCTCCACCCAGTCTGCAGTTTGAGAGGGAAACCACATATTTACCCCCATTCCTATCCACATAGCAAGAACGAGTGGCAGGAGGAGGGATCAGGAGTTTGGGAGAGGCCCAGGGGGAAGGAAGCAGTGATGCAGAGTGAGGGAATACGTGGAGTTTGCTGGTTTTTGGGGAGGACAGGGACGAGAGGAGGCCGAGGGATGAACCCAGCGCCGCAGAGACAGCCAAGGCTGGAGCTGCCCCGTGGTGAAGGGCTGCAGGGGCTCAGTCCTCACTGCCTAGCACAGCTGGCAGTGGCACCAGCAGGGGCACGAGGCAGGGCTGGGTGGCAGAGCCACCCTCACCACTGCCAGCCCAGGGTGCCAGGAGCCACCCACACCCACGAGAGCTGGATGGATGACTCGCCAGCTTGATTCCCTCCACGCAAGGCACAGCCACAGCTCCTCCTCAGCCTCTTCCTTCTGGAGCATCCCTCCCTGGAATTCCGGGCTAGCTGCGTGCGTGCGCGGAGCCCGCGCGAGGCAGAGGAGCGCAGTAAATCCAGGCAGACAGACCCAGCCTCTCCCGCCCGGATCGGCTCTCTGCAGCGCAGCAAATCATGCCAGAGCGAGGCAGGTGAATTTGTAACGCCGTTGGAGCTTCGAGTCCCCTTTTCCTTTTCATTGTTTAGCAGAGATCTGCCCTGTCAAGTCTCAGCCATCACGGCGTAATGCCGAGCAGCCTCCGCCTTCCGCCAGGAGTCCTCGGGGCATCTCCTGAAGATCAGACCTAGTTAAAATCTCGAGTTTCTGCGCAAAGCCCCCCAGACCGTGACAGCAGCTCCGTTGCCTGGGGCACTTGAGAGCGTGCATGTGTGAATGGACATTTCCAGCTCTGCATAGATGTGCTCTTCTGCCATTTCACGTCAGCATCAATCTGGCTATTAATGTGCCTGTTGTTATGCCTCGTGCCTCTAAATGAGGGGGAAGGAGAGATCTCCAGCCCTCGCCATTCCGGCATGGACGGCACTTCCCAAATCCAGCACAGACTCAGGGGCTGACTGACGGCATGGAAGACACCAAACCGACTGGACTACAATCTGCTCATCTCTTAGGTGGTCTCTAAGCATACCCCGTGCTGCATCCCCCACCTGGACCCCAGCATTCCACTTGCCTCCTGCAGGGCTTCTTCCAGCCTCATGGAATTGGCCCTAAACCATCAAGGAGCCTCAGCCAAAGCTGCTCGGCCGTGTCTGGCTCAGCACAGCCCCTGGCCCAACACAACAACACCCCAACGAGCAGTGGCAGCACAAAGCAGCAAGCTCAGCCCTTCGCTGAGGGAAACCTCCAGCACAATCACTGCCAAGCTAATGGCTGCCTGGCCAGGGAGCCCGGCCCTGAGCTCCGGGAGGCAGTAAACACCTCCACCACTGCCTCCCGTCAGGAGGCTGCTGCTCCTCATCCCTCCTTATTTGCTTAACAGATAACCAGCTGCTGTAAACCTCACCATGCACCTGCCAGCACCATCCCATCCTCCCACCACACCCAGCCCTAGTTTGGCCACACACTGGCTAAACAAGCCTGGGCTCTGCATGCTGAGTGGGGCACAGCAGGGCATCAGCCCATGGGAATCACACAGGTGACAAAGCAGAGGTTACCTGGCAGGTTCTGGTGGCGAAAGAAACCTGGATCACCAGAAAGCACCGAGAGAGCAGCACGGCAGGAGCTGTTTC